TGGGGTGATGGGTATTAAGGAGGGCACATATTGAATGAAGCACTGGGTGTTATACGCAAACAATGAATCATGGAACACTATGTCAAAAACTAAAAAAAAAAAAAAAAAACCGTCAAGAGAGCTAGGAAATAGAATAAAATAATTAACACTATAACATTTATGCAAATTTACAATATCTGCCTACAAACAAACATTTTACAAGAAAACATACATTACACATACACTTACAAAGAACACACATTAAACATATTGGAAGGGGGTGCCTGGATGGCTCAGTTGGTTAAGCGCCTGCCTTCAGCTTGGGTCATGATCCCAGGGTCCTGGGATCGAGTCTCGCATTGGGCTCCCTGCTCAGCTGAGAGCGTGCTTCTCCCTCTCCCTCTGTTACTCCCCCATTTGTGCTCTCTCTCTCTCTGTCAAATAAATAAAATCTTTATAAATAAATAAATAAATAAATAAATAACTTGGAAGGATCACCTATGGGGAGGTATAATATTGTGATCAATATATTTGGTCTTCATCCCTGTTTCTGGCACACAGCTATAAACCCTTTGTAATTTCTTAAATAAGAGCCATAGGGGTACCTTTTATAATATTTAGTTTTGTACCTAGTTCCTGAAATAGTTCCAGAGCTATAAAAGTGAAATTATTCATGTAACAAGCCCCTTTTAACCACACCTGAGCTTGTTAATGAAGTTATTTTTGGAAAGCCTCCATATAAGCTAAGGATGGGGACTGTTGCCCGAGGAACCAACCATATAAATGGTTGGAACTTTCAGCCCCACACTCCAGATCTCTCAGACCTCTGGGGCGGGAAGAGAGGCTAGAGATTGAACTCAATCACCAATGGCCAATGATCAATTGTGTCTCTGTAATGAAGCCTCCCAAAACCAGGGTACAGAGAGCTTCTGGATTGAAGGTGTGGAGAGAATGGTATACCAGAGAGGGCATGGAAGCTCTGCACCCCTTCCCATTTACTTAGCTTTTTTTTTTTAAGATTTTATTTATTTATTTGACAGATAGAGACATAGCTAGAGAGGGAACACAAGCAGAGCGAGTGGGAGAGGGAGAAGCAGGGTTCCCGCTGAGCAGGGAGCCTGATGCGGGGCTCGATCCCAGGACCCTGGGACCATGACCTGAGCCAAAGGCAGACGCTTAATGACTGAGCCACCCAGGTGCCCCATTTACTTTGTCTTATGCATCTCTCCCATCTGGCTGTTCCTGAATTATATCCTTTTATAATAAACCAGTAATGTCATAATGTTTTCCTGAGAAAGCTGCTCTAGCAAATTAATCAAATCCAAGAACACGGAACCTCCAATCTATAGCCATTTGGTCAGATGCAGAGGTAACCTGGACTTGTGATTGGTTATCTGAAGGGTGGCAGGTGGGGCAGAAGAGTAGTCTTGCAAGACTGAACCCTTAACCTGTGGGCTCTGTCACTATCTCCATGTACATAGTGTCAGAATTGAATTAAATTGTAGGACACCCAGCTGGTCTTGAAGAATTACTGGATGTGTGGAAAATGCACAATCTACTGTCAGAAATGAAGCAGTGCTGTAGTTGTGCAGAGGAGACACAATGGAAAAGTGTGTTTTTCCTTAAAGGAAGGAACGGAAAATGAGGATGGGAAATTTTTAAAAGGAAACAAACACAGGAAGAAGCTAAAGCTTATACAGACCCAATACGATAGTGGGTGTGAACTAAGGAATGATTAACTCAATCCTCTATACATGAGATCTCACAGAAGTATATGAGAGATATTAAGCTCACTACGTACCGGACAGTTGCTAGTATCTCTGATATCTTCTCAAAACAAAGTGGTTAAAAGTCTATTCTGAGACCACAATTTATACAATATGATCCCTGGGTAATTATTCCATAAGTTGTTGGTCATTTTAACCCCTAAAATTGAAAACTCACCCCAATAATCTAGAGTGATTTAAACTGAGTTGAGGAGCACACTTTTAATCTTTAAATTAGTATGTTATAAATATATTTTTTAGGGCGCCTGGGTGGCTCAGTTGGTTAGGCGACTGCCTTCGGCTCAGGTCACGATCCTGGAGTCCCGGGATCGAGTCCCGCATCGGGCTCCCTGCTCGGCAGGGAGTCTGCTTCTCCCTCTGACCCTCCCCCCTCTCATGTGCTCTCTCTCATTCTCTTTCAAATAAATAAATAAAATCTATAAAAAAATAAAAAAATAAAAATAAATAAATATATTTTTTAAAGGAAATTCATCATAATATTAAAAGGAAAATCCATTTCTTCACACTAAAAGAACTTAAACCAGTTTTTATCCTGAAACACCCCTGGTGATCAACTTTGCAGAATAACTGAGTGAGTGAACAAATAAGCATTCAAATGAATCCTTAGCCGTAAGAGTTGCATGGAACTGAATCCCACAAAACCTAACGACAAAAGGGAAAAAACAAGGAATTGGGCATATTTCTGACAAAAGTAGGATCAACACTGCTGATAAAGGCTGTGAAGTACAAACTAAAGCCGAGGTGAGTACAACAGATGTGCCCTAACCACCACCTTTCTAAACCTCTTAGAGACTTCTGACTTATTCCAACATTTTGTCATCTCATCACAAACTCTCTTAACTGCCTATTATGACAAAAAAGTTATTAACAACTAGAAGTCAGGAACAATTTTTAATTCCCCTTCAAGTCACTAATGAATGGAGGCAACCAAAGACTGCTGGAATTGTGTAACTATTCCCAGTGAATACCCTGGGAACCCACCAGATTCACTAAGGTCAGCAGTACACCTGCCAGATGTCCTAAATCCTCTTCTGCACAGTATGCCCTTCCCCATTCCAGTAACTATCCAATACCTTCCCACCTCCCCTACTCTCCCATCCCTACCTAGTGCACCTGGCAAACTTCTATTATTCCTCCAAACTCCAGTTAAAATGTCATGTCATTCAGGAAGCCTGTCCTGTCCATCTTCTTCCCCCAGAGAGATAACACTTCCTTCCTTTGCTGTAAAACTGTACCACATACTTGTTTCTACTGCTCAATTTATCACATATAATTTGTTTACATGTCTGTCTCCCCTCCTCTTTTTTTTTAAATGAAGCATGCCCTTTCCAGGGAGAATTTCTTTTTTTTTTTAATTTTATTTATTTATTTGTCAGAGAGAGAGCGAGCGAGCACGAGCGGGGGAAGGGGCAGAGGGAGAAGCAGGCTCTGTGCTGAGCAAGGAGCGCGCTGTGAGACTCGATCCCGGGACCCTAGGATTATGACTTGAGCTGAAGGCAGATTCCTAACCGACTGAGCCACCCAGCTGTCCCGTCTCCCCTACTTGACTGTGAACAAATTTCTTAGATGCACAGACCGGGCCTTCTTTTTTTGCCAAGCTCCATAGTAGGCTCTCAAATATTTACTGAATACATGCATACCTGAAGCAAGAAAAGACAGTCATTAGATGTCGAATGAATCTATAAAGCCTATCGGCAGGAGTGCCTGGCTGGCTCAATCTGTAGAGCATGGGACTCTTGATCTCGGGGTTGTCAGTTTGAGCCCCATACTGAGCGTAGAGATTACTAAATAAATACCTATCCTCAAAAACCCACTGGTTGCTATAGTCATCTCCCACTTTTTTTTCTTTTTCTTGGGGATTACACATTAGACAAGTTACTAAAGATTTTTATTTTTTTTTTTAAGAGATTTTTTTTTTTTAAGATTTTTTTTTTATTTTTTATTTATTTATTTGAGACAGAGAGAATGAGAGACAGCATAAGAGGGAGGAGAGTCAGAGGGAGAAGCAGACTCCCTGCCGAGCAGGGAGCCCGATGCGGGACTCGATCCCGGGACTCCAGGATCATGACCTGAGCCGAAGGCAGTCGCTTAACCAACTGAGCCACCCAGGCGCCCTAAAGATTTTTATTTTTAAAGGTAAACACCCGATAGAACTAATTACAGAAATGGAATTAATAGTTTAATACAAGCCAAATACATGGGAGAATCACTCACTAGGAGAATCATTAATGGAACTGAGTTTCCGGGGCACCTGGGTGGCTCAGTCCTTAAGTGTCTGCCTTCAGCTCAGGTCATGATCCCAGGGTCTGCAGGGGGCCTGCTTCTCCCTCTCCCACCCCCCTGCTTTATGTTCCCTCTCTGGCTCTCTGTCAAATAAATAAAATCTTAAAAAAAAAAAAAAAATGGAACTGAGTTTCCAAAAATCTCCTTCTCTATAGCACTCAGCCAACAGGAGGGTGTTAAGTCTAGTACTTCCTAAAAGGAAGGGATATAAGCTAGACAACCTTTGAAGATCCTTTTTCAACTCTACAATCCCCTCCAATTATTAAGACATAAGGGACTAGCTTCAATCCAGTGATAATAAGTACCATCTGATAATATATGAATTTATTAGCCTGGTTAGCCAAGCCTCCTTGTGACAAGCTAGGTACAAAATAAATTCCAAATTTAATCACACCTGTGGTAGGTAGAATGAGAATAACAGCCCCTGGAAGATGTTCACATCCTAATCCACAGAACTTGTAATTATGTTACCTTACATGGCAAAAAAAGACTTTGCAGATACAATTAAATAAAGGATTTGGGGGTGAGATTATCCTGGATCATCCAAGGGCCCCTAGAAGAGAGACGCAAAAAGGTGAGAGTCAGAGAAAGAGATGTGATGACAGAAGCATAGATCAGAAAGAGCAAAAAAGATCTGACAATGCTATTATGCACCGCCAGCTTGAAAATGGAAGGAACCATAAGTCCAGGAATGCAGGCCACCTCTAGAAGCTGGAGAATACAAGAAAAAGGATTTTCCCTAGAGCCTCCAAAAGAACTCAGTCCTGCTGACACCTCGACTTTAGCCCAGTAAGAACTACTTTGGACTTCTGACTTCCAGAATTGTGCCAATGATAAATTTGTGTTGTTATGCCACCAAATTTCTGGTAATTTGCTACAGCAGCAATAGGAAACTAATATCATGCCTAAAGAATATCTCTTTAGGCAGCAACACATGGTAATCAAACTTACCATCTAAGAAAAAATGATCTCGAACAGCTTCTGCAGCTAAAACAGACTTCCCACAACCTGCCATTCCATATATGACGACCCATCCTGGTTCACCATTTAGTATGAATAGGTTCTGCCGAATTGCATTCACCAGCTTCTTCCTGGTAACAAAAACAACTGGCCTCTGTGGCACTCCACCTTCACAAAGGACTGTCTTTACTGAAATCCAAAACAAAACAAGCATGAACGAATTGAACTTTGAAATGGTTACTCAAGTCATACCATAAAAACCAAAAGAAAGCAAGGCTGAGGCTTACCCTCAGAACTTCCAAAGGAAGAAAATGTGGCTGGCATACTAACCTCAACATTCTTATTTCTCAGAACATAACAAAAACATATACTTTTCAAGATGACTACTGACAATGCAAAGCTCCATCTATATCTGCCCTTATACACCCTATTCCTCCCTGACTCTCCAATCTCTTTTTCTCATATTGAAGACTAGAAAGGAGGGTGTAAAGGAAAGAATATGGAATTCCTTTCAAGAATATAGATTTCTAAAGACTCTTATTCTTTCCTATGCATGAACTCAATAAATAAACACAGAATTGGAGAAGAGCTTAAAGGCCTAAACACTGTCTTTTTAATCTCTAAAAATGCCCAGTAGACAGCTCACTAGGCATGAAGAAAATGTGCAAGTTAACACAGGTGCAAATAAAAACGTAAACTGAAAAACAGAACTATAATTTTTCTCACTGCATTTTCAGTGAACTAATCATAATCAATCTCTTCAACAGACTCCATTTACAATAAGACAAAACTGCAGCAATGTAGCCATTGTGATAGCAATGTGATAGAAGATATCATGGATACAAACCATATGAAGTTATTCCACCAACTGAATCTTTGCCACCATTGGAAGAAGAGATGACAGGAATGCCACTATGGAGAAGGGCAGCAAGATCTTTATACCCTTCATGTATTAAAGCATTGTAGAATGATATGTAGGAATAATTATCTTTTTTAAGTATCATTTTAATTAACAGAGCTGCTCGCTGCTGTTGAGTGGGCTAAAAAATAAATAAATAAGTAGTTTAGTATACTACAAAGAATACGTTTGCAACATCAATTAGTGGAGACCAGTGCAAGTTCTGAAATAAATGTAAGAAAATTTTTTAAACTCAAATAATTATATCAAACATTTTTAAATAAAAATTAGAAAGAAAAAAAATTTTATAGCACAGACTTACGCAGAGGGATTTACCTCATTTTTTACTTTTTCCTCCTCCAGTACTGTTAAAACTCCATCATTAATCATACAATCCATGATGTAGGACGTTTTGATGTCCTTTTCCAGGGCTTCTCTATGTTGAAGCAAACAGTTTCGAGCTTTTGCGTCCATCTTCCCTCAAATTTTTTGTTCTCTGAGCTGTCAACCATGAGCTATGGGCAAAATATCACAATATTTGTCAGGGCAATAAAGATATAAAAAGATGTGTAACCTCACTGGTAATCAAGAAATAAAATAAGATTTTTTTGCAAAGATTTTTAAAAACGGACAAAACTGAAGGCTTTCAAAAGTGTGAGAAAATAAGTATTCATATGCACTACTTGAGAAGACTACAAAAATGGTTACAACTTTTCTGAAAGGCAATATGATAAGATATAAAAGCATTTAAAGTGAGTATTCTCTCCAACCCAGAAATCCCACTTCTAGAAATTTACCTCAAGGAGACATTCACTTATGTATGCAAAAATATCCACAAAAAGAGTTAACAGGGGTGCCTGGGCGGCTCAGTCGGTAGGGCATGTGACTTGATCTCAGGGTCGTGAGTTCAAACCCCACACTGGGCATGGAGCCTACTTTAACAAAAAAAAAAAAAAGAGTTAACAGAGAATGTTTAGGGGAGGAAAAAAAAGATGAAAACAAAAATTAAAAAAAAAAAAGATGAAAACAACCTAAATGCCCACCTTGCTGAGTATGGATTAAAAAAATTAGAGTATGTATATAAAATTATAAGATGTACAGAGTATGTGTATTATATTATAAGATTAGTACACAGCCATTTAAAATAAGACACTTCGGGCACCTGGGTGGCTCAGTAGGTTAAGCGACTGCCTTCGGCTCAGGTCATGATCCTGGAGTCCCAGGATTGAGTCCCGCATCGGGCTCCCTGCTCAGCGGGAAGTCTGCTTCTCCCTCTCCCGCTCCCCCCTCTTGTGCTCTCTCTCTCTCTCTCTCAAATAAATAAAATCTTAAAAAAAAAAAATAATAATAAGACACTTCTCCATGTACTGACATGGAAAGATGTTCACTACACACTAATTAAAAAAATTAGAAATATGATCCCATATACAGCACAAAATATATGTTGGTATCATATAAATACACAGGAAGATGTTAGGAAGTCTATTCAACCTAATATACTTGGGGTTACTTCTAAGTAGCAAGATTTGGGGGTTCCCCCTTTTCTTTTTTGTACTTTTCTATATAGTCTTAATTTTTTCAATATACATTATATTTTTATAATTTAAAAAACTTTAAGATTTTTATAAATAGCGATCTTACTGAAATCCTAATGTTTAGAAACTTGTCTTTATCCAACATAAGATTAAACAGAGCATTGTTTTCACGCAAGGTGTTAGCTCTAGGTCTTCATCTGTAAACACATTTCTCACATGCTTACCCCACTGTTCCAGCTGAGCTGCTAAGTATGACAAAGCAGCAGAAAATACCCACTGGTGTCATTCTTCAGATTAAGAGGACACAAAGAGGGACGCCTGGGGGCACTGAGTCAGTTGCGCATCTGACTCTTGATTTTGGCTCAGGTCATGATCTCAGGGTTGTTAGATGGATGGAGCCCTGCATCAAGCTCTGTGCTGAGCATGGAGCCTGCTTTAAGATTCTCTCTCCCCCTCGGGGCACCTGGGTGACCCAGTCGGTTAAGCATCTGCCTCAGGTCCTGATCGCAGGGTTGTGAGATCCAGTCCCAGGTCAGGCTCCACACTCGCGGAGTTTGCTTAAGTTTCTCTCTCCTTCTGTTCCTCCCCCCAGACGGTATCTCTCTTTCTCTCTCTCTGTCTCAAATAAAAAAAATAAATCTTTTTTTTTTTTTTTTTTATAAAGATTTTATTTATTTGAGAGAGAATGAGATAGAGAGAGAGCATGAGAGGGGGGAGGGTCAGAGGGAGAAGCAGGCTCTTCGCCGAGCAGGGAGCCCGATGCGGGACTCGATCCCGGGACTCCAGGATCATGACCTGAGCCGAAGGCAGTCGCTTAACCGACTGAGCCACCCAGGCGCCCCTAAAAAAAATAAATCTTAAAAAAGTTTTCCCTCTCCCTCTGCCCCTCCCTCCCACCTCCCTGATGCTCTCTAAAAAATAAATTTAAAAAATTAATATTCTTTACAGCATAATACTCTAAGTTTCTACCAGCTTTATTTCAAATACAATGCAGATTTTTCCATGGTTATAAAACCCAGATCCAAATATTTGCAGGTTTTTAAAACATTAACAGAACTCCACCCAATGTAGTAGAGTATCTAAATGTGTTCAATAATTTATCCATTCAATAAACATTTGAGCCCCTCCTATGTGCCAGGCCCTGAAGTCTACAAAGAAGATTAATCATAACCCTGAAAGAATTCATAATCTAGTGGGAGAGAAAAATTTTAAAGAGATAATTAGAATGTGATGCCGTAAGGGCAAAAATACAGATAAGCACAAATAATATAGAGTGCACAAAAGAGGACGGATAATCATTTTCAACAATGACTATATACTTGTGGCACTTGCAAACATAGGGAAATAGAGCACTTGCCTATACTTGTCAAGGTTCACCAAATGCCCAGTACTAGCATGAAACTGAAGGATAAAAGAAAAAGTTATGATCAGAATCAAGGCTATGGTATCCTTTAAACGTTACTACCGTTTTACGATCTCAATTAAAACAAAACATTCCTTAATTTTTAGTTAATTTTTCAGGATATGTCGAATTGCTAAACAGACACCTCTGACAACCTGAAACTAATTTCCAACTTTCCCTGGCCCTATTAAAACGAAATATGTAAATTTTAAATACATTGTTAAACTCTGCACAAATCGTAATATTATGAACAAATTCTCAGCGTCCCACCTTCTGTAACCACATCAAAATGTAAAATCAAACTCTTCAAAGATGTGAAATAGAGAGTAAAGAGCAATTTCATCCAGGAAAACCGTAATAGTTGGCTGCTTCCTCTTTGGTAATTTCTCTTCCTGGTACAGGAGCAGGACGGTTAGCAATTATTCCTTGTGTCAGAATTCTGAGTCCCTGAAATTGGCTACTGAACCTCCAGAGAACCCAGCTCGGGCAGAAAAGCGGGGCGCAAACTTACCCAAACCTGTGCAAAAGGTCTTATTGGGAAAGGCAGCCCTGCAGGGACAGACTGGGAAGTCCAGGTGGGGGTGGGGGTGGGGGTGGGGCTGGGGAGGTAAGCAATGGGGGCTCCCTAAAGGGAATGTAGGGATCCGCGCGCGGCCCCAGGACAAGTCCGGGCCTCACAGGTGCACCTCCAGGGCCTCCGCAGTCCGGGGCGCCTCAGGACCCCCAGAGGCCTCGGGCCCGCGGAGAGACAGACGTCACCCCCGCAGGCAGACCACACAGTCCCGGACCGCCGAGGTGAGGCCGGGTCTGAGGCCCGCCCTCTCGTGTACCCCACCCCAGACACAAAGGGAGGAGGGCCCGCTCGAGCTGTCGCTCTTTCCCTCCAGAGGCAGCTGCACCCGGCCGGAGTCCGGCACCACTCCGAACGCAGCCGCGACTTCAAGTCCTCGCGGGTCGCTGACGACCCAGACTCCTCACCTTCGGCTCCCTCGTCCCTTCAGCCCGGGAATAAAAGAACCAGCGTCCACTTGAAACCTCCTCCTTTCCGCCTCAGAGCCTCGGAGCAGTCAAAACCCGCTGGGCCCGCCCAGCCCGGACAGCGCGCGCCCGCGCACGCAAATACACACACCCGGAGTCCCCGAGGAGCGGCCGCTGCCCCGCGCGCCCCAGCCGCGGCGAGCGCCCGCGCGCGCCTAAAAAAGCGCCCTCCGCCCCACCCCACGGCGGGGCGGGGCTAAGCCACGGCGGCGCGCCTCTTTCCGAGGACAGAGGACCCAGGCGGCGGCGCGCTCCACGTGGCGCGCGCTACCCTTCCCCGCCCCCTCGCTGCCCGGCGGTCCGCGCGCGCCGGGAAGCCACGATTTCCTCAAGTTTGCGGCTTTAATGGAAAGGGAAAGGAGGTTCGCCAGGTGCCTCTGCTGGAGGAACTAGAGGGCGGGTGGCTGGGGGACGCTCTGAAGCAGAGAGAACGGCCGGGAGAAGAGGGGGCGAGTTTGTGGGCGGTGCCAAGTCCAGGAGGGGGCGCGGTCACCGCTGAGGCGTCCCGCGGAGGCTGAGGAGGCCCAGTCCCGACCCCCCAGGGTGAAGAAGGCGCCCGGGGCTTGTCGCGTCCTCAGACATGTCGGAGGTGAAGAGCCGGAAGAAGTCGGGACCCAAGGGAGCCCCCTCGGAGCCGGGGAAGCGGAGCGACGGCGGGAAGAGCCCCGAGGCCCGGGGCGGTGGAGGCGGGGGCTGGGCGGACCCCCGGACCGGCGTGAGCCTGCTGTCGCTGGGGACGTGCCTGGGCCTGGCCTGGTAAGTGGACGCGAGGCCGCCCGGGCCCTGTGTCCGGCCTCCCGCGGTCGCCCCACTCTTCTCCGGGCCTCGCCCGGCTCGGCATCCCGCTAACCTCCCAACCCCAGACCTGCGGCTTCTGTTCCTCTGCCTTGACCCCAAAAAAGGGACAGCCCTTTTTTTTTTTCGCTCTTTCTTACAACTCATTTTTCTTTTGTATTAGTAGTGTGCCCCGATCACTCAACTGGAGTTGAGACTCAGGTCTGGGAACGAGTCAGCCATTTCTTGAGATGCGGATTTGACCAAACTTTATTAAGCGCCTGCTACACGTCCGAAGCTTTTCCGTTTTCGTAACCCATTTCCTGTCCGCTGCACATTTGCCTTGGACACAGTTGCCCCACCCTCACCCCATAAATGCCTAATGGCAACGTTGGCGGTCTTTAAATCATTCGGTATGATCTCAGGGCATATCTCAGTATGACAATATCAGAGTTTGAGGATTTCTCATATTTCCATCCTCGTTCATGCGTTATGAATTTAAAGTGTCTTCCTAAGTTACAGATTGAATTTTAGTACTGTAAAATGACAAAAGTGTAGCATTTGTGTTCACCTGAAACTGAACATCCATAGTTTTTAAACCAAATTTTAAACCAAGCAAATAGCAATACATTGTTGTTATAGAAAAAAAAATTAGTATTAGAAATAACCTTAAGGGGTGCCTGGTGCCTCAGTCAGTCAAGCGTCTGCCTTCGGCTCAGGTCATGATCCTGGGGTCCTGGGATGGAGGCCTGCGTGGGCTCCCCGGTCCATCGCCCCGGTTGTGCTTTCGCTCGCGGGCGCTCTCTCTCTCAAAAATAAAATCTTTGAAAAAAGAAAGAAAGAAAAAACCTTAAAACCAACTTAGTAATTTTATTTTCCCCAATCATTTTCTTTAGGAATAACCTATTTCATCTTAATAACAAGACTCGTGCTTTAAATTAGAATTTCCCTCCACTTTTCACCGATTTTTAAAGTATTTAGAAGATAGTTATTCATCTTCAAGAGTAATAGAGGAGGGACCCTGGACTTCCTTTAGTGTAGACCATTTTTGATTGTAATAAATTTTGAATTATACTCTACTGGTAACTCATCCTGAGTTGAAATTAATAAAACATTTGTTACAATAAAGTAGATGTTATTAAATGTTCTCTTCAAGGGATGCCTGGGTGGCTCAGTTGTTAGGGATCTGCCTTCGGCTCAGGTCATGATCCCAGGGTTCTGGGATCGAGCCCCACATCAGGCTTCCTCCTCAGCTGGGAGCCTGCTTCTCCTTCTCCCTCTGCCTGCTGCTCCCCCCGCTTGTGCTCTCTCTCTCTGTCAAATAAATAAAAATCTTTAAAAAATAAATAAATGTTCTCTTCAAAAAAAGGATGTTCATGTTAGTAATATGGCATTTTGTTTATGTAATATTTTGATTTTGATCTTAAAAGAATGAATTTACCCTTTTTAATAAATTTACTCTTGTAAATAAACTGCTCTTATGTCTTAAAATGCATGACCTTCGTTAGGGAAATAAAAACCCTTTTATACTGAGAAAGTTACTCAGTAATAGAGCTAATAGGCTAAAAGATACAGATCTTCCTTGACTTAGGATGGGGTTACTTCCCAGTAAACCCATTGTAAGCTGAAAATATCATAAGTCAAAAATGCATTTAATACACCTCATCTACCAAACATCATAGCTTAGCCTAACCTATCTTAAATGTGTTCAGAACACTTAACATTAGCAGACAGTTGAGCGAAGTCATCTGACAAGCCTATTTTACAAGAAAGTATTGAATATCTTACGTAATTTACTGAATACTGTACTGAAAGTAAAAAAACAGAATGCTTGTATAGGTACAGATTGGTTATAAGTGAATCATGGTCACTTAATCACAGGGAGCTGCTGCTGCAGGCACTGCCCAGCATCAGGGGAGAGGATCCGACCAAGAAGAGGATCAGGATCTCACTGCTACTCTAGGAAAAGGTCAAAATTCAAAGTACAGTTTCTACTGAGCTCCTATCACTTACATACCATCATAAAGTCAAAAATCTAAGTCAAACCATTATAAGTTGAAGATCGTCTGTATATGTTGCTTCTCTCTGGAACGTAGTAAACTGGTTTTAGTTATTAAATTTACTAATTCTCAATTATCCAAAGATTGATATTCATAAGAGATAAATTACATCACAGAATGTTCAGCTTTTCAATAATTTAGTTACTGTTCTGGGAAAACACTAATACAAATCTATGGGGGCGCCTGGGTGGTTGTCAGTTAAGCGTCCAACTCTTGATTTCAGCTTATGTCATGATCTCAGGGTTGTGGGATCAAGCCCCAGGTTGGGCTCTGAACTGTAAGTGGTCTAATCTGTCCATTCCATCCTTGATTTGCTATAAGCTCAACACTGGTTTCAAAGGTGGACAGGCCTGGGGCTTCCATCAGGTGTAAGCAGGAGGAAAACCTGATCCTTTATACCACTATAGGTTTGGAACGAACTATAGAGGGATGGAAAAGCAGCTGCACAAAGCAGTCTGAAAGAAATGGCCAAGGTACTTAAAAAGAGTAACTGATGTGTGGTACCCTAACTGCATAAATTTGAACCTATTTAATCTCTACAACAACCCTATGAAGTATTATTATTATTCCCACTTTACAGATGAGGAAACTATAGCAAAGATAAATAACTTGCCCAAGATGATTATACAGCTAGTAAATGGCAAAGCCAAAGTTGCTCAGTTCCGTACTCTTACCCAGTATGATATGCTACCTCCATCTGATACTAATCTAAGAGGCCAAAACCCTAGAAATAAAAATCCCTAGTCCAGAACTATTTATAGTCCTTTTCTAACTAGAAGCTATAGCTCTTAGCAGACCCTGTCTGTCTCATCTAAACTGAGGAAGACAGGGAATAAGGGGGCCTTTAACTTCTTGTTAGAATATGCCTCTGATTGGTTAAACATCTAACTTTTTTATTTTTAGATTTTATTCACTTATTTGTCAGAGAGAGGGAACACAAGCAGGGGGAACAGCAGGCAGAGAGAGAAGCAGGCTCCCCACTGAGCAATGAGCCTGATGCGGGACTTGATCCCAGGATGCTGGGATCATGACCTGAGCTGAAGGCAGATGCTTAACCGACTGAGCCACCGGGGCACCCCACATCTGACTTTTAATCTCAGCTCCGGTCTCAATCTCAGAGTTGTGAGTTTAGGCCCCATGTTGGGCTCCATGCTGGTGTGGAACCTACTTAAAAAAAATGTATATATATATATACCTCTGACTCATAAAAAGGGAACAAAGCACTTTGGACACTAACCTGGATGCCAATTTCAAAAAATTTAGTTTTTCAGGAATGAAGTTACCTTCTGTCAACATTGACTTCTAGAAAATCATCCTCTTCCTTAATGTTAACAGAGTTAATATTTACAAATCATTTTAGAATGGTGCCTGGCACATCTAAGTGAAAAATAAAATGGGGCGCCTGGGTGGCTCAGTCGTTAAGCGTCTGCCTTCGGCTCAGGTCATGATCCCAGAGTCCTGGGATCAAGTCCCGCATCGGGCTCCCTGCTCCGCGGGGCCCTGCTTCTCCCTCTCCCACTCCCCCTGCTTGTGTTCCCTCTCTCGCTGTGTCTCTCTCTCTCAAACAAATAAATAAAATCTTTAAAAAAAAAAGAAAAAGAAAATGAATGTGTTTGAATTCAGCACATACAAACTGCTTTTCATTTTTTTCATTACTAGCAGAGTCAACTTTATGCTTGTTTTTTCTTTTTTTTTTTTAAGATTTTATTTATTTATTTGACAGAGAGAGTGAGCACAAGCAGGCAGAGAGAGAGGGAGAGGGAAGGGGAGAAGCAGGCTCCCCACTGAGCAGAGAGCCTGACCACGTAGGGCTCTATCTCAGGACCCTGGGATCATGACCTGAGCCGAAGGCAGACGCTTAACCAACTGAGCCACCCAGGCACCTCTATGCTTGTTTTTTCTTATATATTTTTCTTATTATTCATATGTAGTAATGGTGAATCTTTTTTTTTATTTTGTTGAGAAGCTAACCATGAAAAAAACCTACAAATTATCATCAGAGATGATATTTGCACTAGCATGACATAGTTTTCTTCAAGGTCAAGGTTTTGCTTAACTATTTGAATTTTGAAGAGAAGTCCAGAAATAGACATTAAAATATTTAATAAAATGGAAAGTGCTATAATGTGTTATAGTAGTGGATCAACCTTTACAAAAAGATTCTTATAATAACAGTTTTATTCTGAATAAACATTCTGATCTACAGGATAAATCCCAGAGGTAACACTGGAGTAATGAGTGATAAAACTAATCTC